CCATAGCTTTCGATATTTGAGCAGGGACCGACCGTCCCTGCATTCCTATAGTCCTACCACGACATGTTCTTAGAACACAAAAATGTTCGAATGACAAAAAATGGTCTTAGAGCAGAAACCCGATGTGATAAAACAAGACAGTCCCAACCAGAGATGCTCTAAGAACATGTCGTGGGAACCACAAGAGGTTCTTAGAACATTGTTTGGCAGGACTATAGGCACGTCAGGACGCTTCGTCACTGCTCGAGTCTCGACACACCACAGCTTTCGATATCCACTCTGAGGGGGAACGGTGGGCAGGGCACCGGCTCAGGGGAGGGAGAAACACCGCGCGGGAAGCCGCGACGCAGCGCCTGTGGGTGGGCAGATGCGCCCCCGACGGCGGATGCGCACGTTCCCGGGCGGGGCGGGCTCTCAGATTCCTTTTGGGCGACGAGTGGGCGGCTGGGGGTCGATGCGTCCCCCATGGAGCCTGTCCCCAAGTCGGGCGTGTCCCCCTACAGGCGGATGTTCGACGACGAACAAAACATAATCAAGCATATCCCCACACAGTCAAACATACGAAACCAAAATCGTTCCCCGAGAATTTTTGTTTATGTTTAGCTACTCCTCCTGTAGAGGGACATATCCGACTTGAGCCAATCTCCCCCTTAGCGTTGCCCCTGACACTCAGCCAAGAGAAAGAGGAGTCTGGTCTGAGAAAGGGTGGCCTGGGCCCCGTCAGAGTCGGGCCTCCGCTGCCGCGGTCCTCGGGGGTACGGTCGGACCTAGGCCAGAAGAACCTCCCTCAGCACATGGGTACCCTCCCCAGGATGCGCAAGAAAATCCAGCAAACACGAAGAACACGAGGGTTGGGAAGCCAAAAGGCACCGATGCCGATACTGCTACCCCCCGGACCCCTCCCTGGGTGCGTTCTGGGGCGAATCCAGCAGTGGCGACGAGGGCCTCCCAGGAGGCCCCAAACGGGGGAAACGAGGGAAGGGTAGAGGTATGGGTACCTTTTTTGCTCCTCTGGAAGGGGACCCTCCCCGACTCGACCTCGATCTTACGCCTCGGTCCGACTGTACCTCTTCGGCCGAAGCGGGAGAGAACCGCCTCCTCCCCTCCACCACACCCCATGTCCGAGGGGTGGCCGGCGGCCGCCAGGCGCGGCGAGGAGAGGAGGGCAGTCAAGCACGCTTTCTGCCTCGGGCTCGGCGAGGTTGGATAGGGCCTGCATCGGGATAAGAGAACACAAATCTTGCCATCGCTCGGACGTCTTTTCCCGGTGCATTTTTCGGTTGCGTGCGTTGTCTTCTTTGCCAGGTGATCCAGGATGCTCCTCGATGGTCCTCGCCGAGGCAAAATGCACACGTCCGAGCGATGCGCAGGCATTAGCACCCGGACGTGAGGAATAGAGGGAGGGCGGCCGCGGAGAAAGAGGACTGTGAGGGGCGGAACTCAAATCAGGATGAACTGGACTCACTGTGGGTGCTGCAGCTGCGCTGAGATCAGGCACACGCTAACACGGATTCCATATCCGTGGATTTGGCACGCGGGCGCGAGGGGAGACCAATCCCCTCGAAGTCATGAAGCCAAACGCCGCTAATCAGCACCCCTCGCTAATCCACGCGCCCTAGCCCAGACATCCCATGCATTGACTTCGTCAATACGGGGTCCCCGGAAGATCCGATGTTTACCCCAGGGCCAATGTTTATCCCGAGTCGTCGTTCGACGGTCCTGGGGCCGAGCATGGGCGCCCCGAGGCCGAACACAGCCGAAGATATCCTGTTGTATTTTTTTCCACGACGCGAGCATGCCTGGGAATCCAAGTCTGCGCTTCATCGAGATACAGCGGGGGCCTATCCACGAGAGACCTTCCACAAGAAACCCAACCCTGAGACCCCAGGCCGTCCATGGATTTCTGGTGTGGGGACGTCACGCTTTCCATCGCAATGCCATCGAAACCCACGAAACCCAGGGCACCCTGGAGGCAATCCAAGTGTTTCTTGGCATGGGTCCCACTTGCCGTCGCTTGCCGTCTGCCTCGGGCTCGGCGAGGTTGGATAGGGCCTGCATCGGGATAAGAGAACACAAATCTTGCCATCGCTCGGACGTCTTTTCCCGGTGCATTTTTCGGTTTCGTGCGTGTTTCTTTTTGCCCGATGGTCCAGGATGGTCCTCGATGGTTCTCGCCAAGAAAAAATGCACACGTCCGAGCGATGCCAAGTCCACTGCAAGGGGAGGGAGGGGGGGGGGGGGCTGCACACTCGCTGGGCCAGGCCGGGCCCTGCCTTGACCACTCGGAGGGTCTGCACGGCCCGGACGCCGTGACCTTTGCGCGACGGTGGGCCCGGATCGGCGGCGAGCTCCGGGGGGGAAGCGAAAGAGAGAAGGCCTTCTCGCAGAGGGCTCGGAAGTTCGGGCCGGGCGAGAAGGGGGGGATAGCAAAGGGGGGGTTCGAGAATCAGCTCACGTAGCTGATTTTCCCGGCGCCTCCTGGCGCCGGATGCGGCCATGTATCGAGGAATGGACCCCTCGGTGGGGCTGAAACCAGCTGCATGCAGCAGATTTCGTAACCCTCCCCCCCTTTCGTCTGGCCCGAGAAGTCCCCTGGCCTTCCGAAAATGTTCTGAGCCTTCCCATGGGACACAGGAAACCTCTCAGAAGGCGCGATGGCTTCTGAGAAGCCCCGCCGGCTTCTGAGAAGGCCTTCTCCTTCTCGCTCCCTCCCCCTCGCTCGCCGCCGATTTCAATTTTCGGGTCATAAGTCGGGTCTCCCGCGGCCGTTCGGGACGATCCGGGCATCCTCAGAACGCTCTCGGTGAGGCGCAGCCGCTGGAACGCATCCCGAGGGCGGCAAACCGCAAAAAAACTACGAAACTACAAGACGAACCGTCTCGGGAGCTCTGGAGTCCGCTCGTCGATGTATCGCTGATTTTTCGGCGACGTCGGCGATGCACGTGGCCGTCGGCGTGGAGATAATCGGGAACCATGTCGAGCCGCATCGCCGATGCATCGGCGATGCGGCGCTATCCTCCGACCCCGTTGCTCGGATCTCAGTCGGGATGCCTGTTTCAGAGGAGAGGCCCCCGAACTCGGAGCAGGGCGAGTCGAGACAACGCCGGCTCAACATCGATCCCTTGGCCCCCTCCCAGGCTCCAGACGCACCAATTCTTTTCCAAGCCTCGTGCAGCCGCGGCAACAAACGATCGGGGATCTTCAGACCCGGGTCAATCCAGACCCGGGTCAGTCAGCCCTTGCAGAATCCTGCAAGATCCTGCCTGCAACATCCTGCACCCAAGCCTGGGTCGATGCGCAGGATCCTGCAAGATCCTGCAGGATCCTACACCCAAGCCCGGGCCAATGCGACCCTGGCCCCGCAGGATCCTGCAAGATCGGGCGCTCTGGCCGACCCCCGTCTGCACTGGCCCCCGTCTCAAGGCTCCCGAAACAAGCGCCACCCCCGTGCCCCGCTCCCGAGGCCTCCCTCTGTGGGCGGCGCGAGCGGCGCGCGCCCTCCCGAGGGCCGCGAGGCGGCGACGCGAGCGAGCGGCGCCTGAGCTTCTTCGGGAGGTCGGTGTAGCTGATCTGCATCTGGCCGGCCTGTTGGCCCCGGGCGCCGCGGTACCGCTTCGCAGGCTCGCGGCTGCGTGTACTGTCCGATGCCAGCGTGAAGTTCCAGGGGTCCCGTCTCTCGGCTGCGCGCCGAGGGGTGAAATTGGCGTTGCGTCTTCGGGGGTGTTGTCTGTCCCGTCGCGGTCGAATCCGTGTGGAATCCATGAAGGCATCGTCGAACCCGCGTCGGTCGGTTCCACGTCGAATCCGCGTCGAATCCACGCCAAATCCGCGTCGAGCTCGCGTCGGCCAAAAGGAAAGACACCAAACTTGGGGATAGACGACATCCCCCGAAGATGCAACGTAAGGAAACGAACGGGGGCAGGCGGTCTGATAAGGCGGCAGGGCTTCTCGAAGCTCTTCGAGCTTCTGAGAAGGGTCGCCTCTGCCTCCCCCCCCCCGGTTGCGCCGCCGAAGTACAGTTCCGGGGGTCCCGTCCTCTGGAGGCCCCCCCTCCGGACCAAGGGGCAGGAGAACCTGGAATCGAATCGATCAGTCGGATCGGCGATCGACGTGGATCGGATCGGCGGAAATCGGCAGCCGAGTCGGAAAACATCGGATCGGCGGAGATCGGCAGGCTTGTAGGCGTCCAGTGAGAGGTCGGCGCCCACATCGGAATCCCAAATCGAATCGAATCGGAATCGGGAGCGGAAATAACCGGCACCGAATCGAATCGAATCGGCGGAATCGAAGTGAGCCCTGCAGGGGCCGCCCAAGCGACTCGGGATGAGCGGCTTGAGAGGCCGAGAGCCGCAGGGGAAGGCACGCCGTCGTCGAGGGCGGCGTCGCAGCGCTCCCTCCCAGGCCTCTGGCGCTGGGCCTGGTCCGATGCCCTCCTCGGCTCCAGAACCTCCGCCTCTGGAGGTCCGCTATGAAGGGGCCCTGGGACACACGAATAAATACACACACATAACAGGATTCCCCATACTTTTCCATATTTTTTGGATTTTCGTCTTCCCCCCCACTTCCCATCTTTTCGCATATTCTCCTTGGACTCGTTGATTAATTGTGTCTGTGTTTTTTCCCCTCCCGGCGCCAAAGGCCCCCCCTGGCCACCAGCAGGACTGCTCGGGACGAGAGGGATCGAGGGGCCGAGGGCTCCTGCCGTGGCCCACGGCGGCGTCGGAGGCTTCGGCCTTCTTCTTTTTTACACTTGCGAGCTGTGGCGCCCACGCTTGCGTCTCCATCCGCTCCCACCTCAACAGCACTCTCTAGACAGCGAAGGTCTCGCACCCCCTCTGACAATCAGACAGACCCACAGTCCCCCACGGAAGGCACCGTGCGTGGGTGCAGCGGGTGGGCGCTGGGGCGCCTCAGACGCTGGAGTCGGAGAGGAGGAGGAGGAGGAGGAGGAGGAGGAGGAGGAAGAGGAGGAGGGGGAGGAGGAGGAGGAGGAGGGGGAGGAGGAGGAGGAGGAGGAATGGGAGCGGGCGCCGGAGTCGCAGAAGTGGGAGCTGGAGCCGGAGTCTCGCACCCCTTCTGCTGGCTGCAAGTGTTGCGCGCGGGCACGCTCCCCCTCGGGCGGCGCGCGCGGCGTGGGCGAGGGACCACAGTATTGAAAGGAGATAGGCGGCCCGGCCGCCGAGGCCGAAAGGAGGAAAGAGCCGCAACGAGGGCCCTACGAGTCCTAAAGCCTGGGGCCACTGTAGGATGCACTGCTCCTGGCCCTGGCGCCAAAACAAGCGCGACCCCCGCCGCCCGCGTCGTCAGACTCGACGCGGCGGTGGGGCACCGATGGAGGGGCATCAGCGCAGCGCTGCCCCTCCAACTCGCTCTCCTGCTCGTCCTCCTCACGTCCACAAGTCACTGGCCGCGTCCTTCTGCGAACCAGCCGACATGCTCAGAAACCAATCGTCTGGAAGCCGCTGGAGAATGCCTCCACGTCGGACTTCAGCTGCAGAAGCCTCCCCGGAGGGGCCTCCCGCAGTACTCTCTTGAAGTCCACGAGCTTCGGCCCGCTCTGCTTCTGCACCTCCGCCGCGACGTCCACCGCCTCTGCGATGAACTCGCCCACCTTCACGAAGTCGGCCTCCATGAGCCCGCGGGATGTCATCGCGGGAGTGCCGACGCGAAGACCGTTGGGGTTCATCGCGCTCTTGTCGCCGGGGATCGTGTTCTTGTTCAGCACGATCGAGGCCGCCTCGCACACCGTCTCGGACTTCGAGCCGTTCACGCCCTTGGACCGGAGGTCGATGAGGAGCAGGTGGTTGTCGGTGCCGCCAGACACGATGTCAAACGCCTTGCCCTGGAGCGATTCCCCGAGCGCTTTCGCGTTCTTCATCACCTGCTCCTGATACTGGCGGAACTCAGGGGACATGCCCTGCTTCAGGGCGACGGCCAGCGCCGTGATGGACTGGTTGTGGGGGCCGCCCTGGAGCCCAGGGAAGACCGCCGCGTTGATCTTCTCCTCGAAGTCGTACATGATCGGGTTGCCCTTCTTGTCCTCGCCCTTCTGGCCCTTCCTGTAGAAGATCATGGCGCCGCGGGGGCCGCGGAGGGACTTGTGCGTGGTGGTGGTCACGACGTCGGCATACTCGAACGGAGAGGGGACGGTGCCGCCCACCACCAGGCCAGAGATGTGCGCCATGTCAGCGAGAAGGATTGCACCGCACTTGTCCGCGATCTGCCTCATGCGGCCGTAGTCGATCAGGCGAGAGTAGGCGCTGGTGCCAGCGATCAAGATCTTCGGGCGGATCCGCAACGCGAACCTTTCGCACTCGTCGTAGTCGATGACGCCGGTTTCCTCGTTCAGTCGATACTGACTACCTACCAGACCACCCCAACCAAACCCGAAGACCCGAATTTGACATGAATTTCGGGTTGGGGGGGTACGGGTTCCATGTGTTTTTTCAACGTTCCTCGACCCCCCCCACTGGAAATGGAGGGCAAATTGAGGCCTTCGGGTTGGGTTGGGGTGGTTTGGTGGGTGGTGAGATACGGGATCGACTCGAAATACTTCGACACCGCCGAGATCTTCTTGGTGTCGGTCTGGAAGCCGTGTGAGAGGTGGCCTCCGTGCGGGAGGTCCAGGCCCATTATCCGGTCGTGCGGCTCCAGCAGCGCGGTGTAAACCTGGAAATTGGCAGGGGACCCGCTGAGCGACTGCACGTTCACGCCCCAGGCCTTCGGGTCCAGCCGGCACGCCTCCAGCGCCCGCTGCTGGCAGAGGATTTCGGCTTTGTCGATGAACTCGTTGCCGCCGTAGTACCTGGCGCCGGGATAGCCCTCGGAGTACTTGTTCACCATCACGGAGCCCACGGCCTCCAGCACGGCCTTCGACGTGAAGTTCTCCGAGGCGATCAGATTGATGCAGCGCCTCTGGCGGTCCATCTCGCCCCCGATGATCCCTGCAATCTCGGGGTCCACCTCCTCCAGGGGCGAATTCAGGTGCTGCGCCTCGACGGAGATGGCGCGGCCGCCGGCGGGCGCCGCGCGGTGCCCCGCGCGAGCCGCCGCGGAGGCGGCGCGCCCGCACGCGCGCATCACGGCGGCCATGGTCGGCACGCTGCCCGCGGCGCCTCTGGCAAAATCGGCGGCCCAGCACCGGCGAGCTCGGGAGGCGCGGCGCTTGAGCCAAAACGGCTGCAGGGTCAGTATTCTTCCTCCTCCTCCTCCTCCTCCTCCTCCTATTCCTCATCCCCGCCCCTCTTGCTGCCCCCGCTGCTCGCCCTGCTGCTCCTCTTGTTCCCCCTTGCTCCCCCTTCCTTTCCCCCCCCCTTCCCCCTTACAGGAGGAGGAGGAGGAGGAGGAGGAGGAGGAGGAGGAGGAGGAGGAGGAGTCATGGTGCTACGATGGGAAGCGCATAGTGAGGAACGAGGGGGCTTTTCTGGCAACAGCGGGCCCAGGCCACAAGCAGGTTCCACGACATAAATCTAAGGAGCGGTTCGAAATCCCGAGCCCCTCCCGAGCCCGAAAGTCCTTACTTCAACGTCTTGGCTGTATCCCTCGTCGTCATGCTCCTCCCTCCTCGTCCCTCGTGGTGCTCCCTCTCGTCGGCATTGTCGTCGCTCTCATTGTCCCCCTCCTCCTCTGCCCCCTCCCCTTCATTCCCTGGCCTGTGGCGACCTCGGGCGAGAGACGAAGAGGTGGCGGGGAGGGAGGGCAAAAGAGTGGGAGGGGAGGAAGGGACGAGGGGAATGGGCACGGGTGGGAAGGGAAGAATGCACGCAGCTCGCAACTTGATACATGTATCTGTGCGTATACGTGTGTGCGTATACACATATACACAGACATAAGCACACACACACTTTTTGGTCAGAGGTCGCGAGAGGGTCAGCCGGCGGTCGCGCACGGGCGGGGCGCGCCGAAGCAGAGCGAGGCACAGGGAAGGAGGCAGGAGCTCGCCGAGGCGCGAGGCGGCCAGCGAGGCCGGGAAAGCGAGAGAGCGCACACACACATACAGTGGAGGCCAGTCCACAAGAAACCTTCAACAAGAAACCCAACCCTGAGACGCCAGGACGTCCATCGATTTTTAGTGTGGGAACGTCACGCTTTCCATCGCAAAGCCATCGAAACCCAAGAAACCCGGGGCACCCTGGAGGCAAGCAGGGTGTTTCTTGGCATGGGTCTCCACTGTGCACGCACACGAAGTGGAGTGTCCTCAGGTCCCTTCGAGCTCTGCGCGGAACACTGCGACGCTGATGAGGGGGCCCCGGAGCGGCCAGAGGTCCAGGCGCTCTTGGGCCCTCCCGCGCGGGTCGGTCGCGTGACCTTTCCCAAAGGCAAGGAAGAAGGCCTCCTATAGGCCTCCCAACAGGGTCCCGAGAGGCGTAAATCACTAATTTCACAATACATGTTTTGAAATTGAATCTTAGCGTCGTTCATGCCTTTTCGGGCTTTCGACGCTTAAAAGCAACCCAAAAAGCCCCCAAGACGGCACCAAAGGGTCCCACGATGGGCCCAAGAGAGGCCCCATAGGCGGAACACGAACCGACATTCCCGGCCCTTCGCCCCACGATGACCCCCGAGACCGCCAACATGCCCCGAATATGCCGCCCCCAGAAGCTCCAGGAAGCTCCCCAGAGGCCCAAATCAAGCCCAAGAGGCGTTCAAGAGGCCCCCATACACCCCAACACCGCTTCTAAGTGGCCTCCGAGAGGCCTCTACAGATCCCCACGGGCATCCGAGAGGCCTCCGACCTACAATGCAAACACGGCGTTGGAATATGCAGAACAACTAGACATTCACATACTTGGATGAAATAAAAAGAAAGAGGGGCGAGGGACGTGACGAGGGGCTCCCATCCCTCCTCCCCCTCATAATAATTTTCATACGGTGTGATGCCATCACGGCGAGCGTGTATGGACAACACACTACGCGAAGATTATCCCGGCAAAGCAACCTAACAGCGTTGTGTAGGAGCATATCTGGAAGCATTCCCCTTAAGATTCAGATAATAATCCTGTTGTAGAATTCTGCTGTTCTCGCAGTCGTGGTCGCATTCGCGATGGCAGTCGCAGTGGCAACAGCAGTCGCAGTCACAGCCTCAGCCTCAGCCTGCCTCAGCCTCAGCCTGCCTCAGCCTCAGCCTGCCTCAGCCTCGCCCTCAGCCTGCTTCAGCCTCAACATCAGTCTGCCTTCAGCCTCGGCCTCAGCCTGCCTCAGCCTCACCCTCAGCCTGCATCAGCCTCAGCCTGCCTCAGCCTCGCCCTCAGCCTGCTTCAGCCTCAACATCAGTCTGCCTTCAGCCTCGGCCTCAGCCTGCCTCAGCCTCACCCTGCATCAGCCTCAGCCTCAGCCTCAGCCTGCCTCAGCATCAGCCTGCCTCAGCCTCAGCCTCAGCCTGCCTCTGCCTCAGCCTCAGCCTGCTTCAGCCTCAGCCTCAGTCTGCCGTCGGCCTCGGCCTCAGCCTCAGCCTGCCTCACCCTCAGCCTGCATCAGCCTCAGCCTCAGCCACAGCCTGCCTCAGCATCAGCCTGCCTCAGCCTCAGCCTCAGCCTCAGCCTGCCTCAGCCTCAGCCTCAGCCTGCTTCAGCCTCAGCCTGAGTTTGCCTGCAGCCTCGGCCTCAGCCTCAGCCTGCCTCAGCCTCAGCCTGCTCAGCCTCAGCCTCAGCCTCAGCCTGCCTCAGCATCAGCCTGCCTCAGCCTCAGCCTCAGCCTGCCTCAGCCTCAGCCTCAGCCTGCTTCAGCCTCAGCCTCAGTCTGCCTTCAGCCTCGGCCTCAGCCTCAGCCTGCCTCAGCCTCAGCCTGCATCAGCCTCAGCCTCAGCCTCAGCCTGCCTCAGCATCAGCCTGCCTCAGCCTCAGCCTCAGCCTGCCTCAGCCTCAGCCTCAGCCTGCTTCAGCCTCAGCCTCAGTCTGCCTTCAGCCTCGGCCTCAGCCTCAGCCTGCCTCAGCCTCTGCATCAGCCTCAGCCTCAGCCTCAGCCTCAGCATCAGCCTCAGCCTCAGCCTCAGCCTCAGCCTCAGCCTCAGCCTCAGCCTCAGCCTCCTGCCTCAGCCTCAGCCTCAGCCTCAGCCTCAGCCTCAGCCTCAGCCTCAGCCTCAGCCTCAGCCTCAGCCTCCTCAGCCTCAGCCTCAGCCTCAGCCTCAGCCTCAGCCTCTGCCTGCAGCCTCAGCCTC